AACCTTTGGTGTTGATTTTATGTGCTGAAGGTTATTTATTACCTATTGCTATCACATACGCGTGGCTAATTTGCATACCCAAGATGAGCGGATTTACGGCGCGTGGCATCTGGACGTGCTTCTCTTTTGCTATGGAAACACTCCCCATCTGTTGATGGGGGAAGACAACGGATCAGCTGAGCAAATTTCTGCTGTATTTAGCAATTGAGACTTCTATCTATGCCTACAGATACAAACACTTTTTATGGTGCCTTTCGATAATACACGAGATATAAATATTCTTAGCTGTATTTAGAATCAATTATCTTAACTTGTTTAAGCCATAGGCAACATGGGCCTATGTTTGTTTAGTTCCTATATGCTTGTAACTTTTATTTAAATCTTCAACACATCTGAACAAACTTTTGGCTGACTTTTATTCCTTAGATGACAGCTAAGTCATATAGAGAAAAATGCAATGGTTTTGTAACAGATGACTGTCTTAATCTGCAGCTGCAGGAGGGACTAAGTAAAAGCAATTGTTCGATTAGTCTGTTTTGCGCTCGAGCAGGTTTGTCTTGGAACACCTGTCACTCTCGCGCAGTAAGGGGGGCAGGGACGGGATGCACGGACTGCAGATGTGATAGGCCTACTAGAACAATGCATCTATACTCGTTGCAAGTGTCTTTGCTATTTGAAACCAGTTCTTACTTCTTCTTCTTCTTTTTTTTCTTCTTTTTTTGTGTGCTCTGTACTGTGTAAATAAAGCACAAATTTAAGCTCTATAGGACGTTCTGTATTTTGTATTTTAGGCTATAATTTTTATCGTTTGCATGTATGAAACTCAACTTGCAAAATATTAAATGTAATTTTACATTCTGTAGTTTTTCCTAGCTGCAGCTTCACTTTAACCAAAAGTTTAACTGAATCTATGCACCATTAGACACACAAAAAACTTGCACACAATAGTCATATGCGCTGCTGGGCTGCGAGGGGCCAATGGGGGCATCCTAAAGTGAGGCCTCTCCATCTGCTCCTGTTCTGCAGGGAAACAATAGGCCTACATCAGTCAGCGTCAACCTGTTATCTCGAGCCTCTCAAATAACCTAGAAACTCCTTTCTTTTCTTCCATAGCTACAAGCTTGCATTCGTAATGATCTGCGATTCTGGTGTTTTTCTACATGATTCATAACATAGTATTTTTCCCCAAATTATCTTTGTACAGATTTAAAACCACCTGTCAATAAACTGACCAAAATATCAACGCATTTAAACCAAGTCTAAACGCGCGTCATTAAATGCGTTAAAGATGCAAATGTTTCTGCACGTGGAGAACATACGAAAACATTGCTGAATTTTCAGGGTGGCCTATAGGCCTACATTTGGAAAATTGCCTCTGATCACGGGGTCCGTGGCTGTTGCAGGCCAGATTGGGCAGCGGGGCGTCATGGCACGCGCATCTTATTTACATTTGTAAAGGCGTCTAATAATGGAAGTTTCTGAACTCACAATAGGACCGTTTCAGTGTCCACAGATGGCCACACACTCCACCTGTATTTTGCGCTGAGGGCGGGGGATGCGATCCCTTATCCACATTTGCTCACTTTCACCATTAAATTCTCTACTAAAAATACTGAATTTCAGGCGAAAACATAGCTTGTAGAAATGTAATTTCACCCTCTGTAATATTTATATTTCGCTTTACTAAATACATTGCTAAATACCTACTAAATATTTAAATCAAAGTAGGCCTATAGGTCTAAAAGAGAAATGTATTCCAAGTAGAACAAAGTCAGCCTATATTTAAATGTTAAAGAGAGTGAGAGATAGGCTACTTTTAAACTGTGTAATTATAACCTGCTTGGTCTGGAGTTAAACAAAAAAAAAAAACACACACACACAGTACTAAAACATAAAACATAGCTAAATAAATAAATATGCTTTTGTAAATAGTGTAAAAAAATATATTAATTAAATAATAATAGACTACAGTATAAAAATAACATAGGGCCTAATGCTCAAACGTATTCGGTTTTATAAGATAAAACTGAAATGATAAAAAAAAATTAATTGAAGTCTGCAGCAAGTCTTAAAAAGTAACATTACAGCCCTCATCAATCTGCCACGAGCCGGAGTGTGACAATAACATTAGCATACCAATGCACCATTCAGACGAACCAATCAGAGAACGCTTCTTTCATAGCCACCACGAGCCGGGGATTATAAAAGCAGCGAGCTCACGCCGTTAGAGCACCAATCCTTTCGGATTACATCCAGCTTCAGTTCTGCTATCTGCTCCTTGTGGACTTACTACCAGCATCATCATGACTCTTGAGGAAGTTCTCATCCAGAAGCCCAGCGAGAGAGCTCAGTGCACTGGAAAAGCACTGGAAGAAGTTTTGGTTTCTGCCAAAGCGAACGACTGCCTTACCACTGGCGTTTACGAGTCTGCCAAAGTTATGAATGTGTGAGTATGCAGTCTATTGTTTTTTCCTTCATGCAACATCTTTGATTAAGCGTTTCGAATGGTTTAGTAGTACACGTTGTGCTTATAATTAGCCTTTTCTTGTATTTCAGTGACCCAGACAGCGTGTCTTTCTGCGTCCTGGCGATGGATGAGGAATTTGAGTGCGACATCGCTCTCCAAATCCACTTCACTCTCATCCAAGCCTTCTGTTTCGACAACGACATCAGCATCGTTAGAGTGAATGGCATGCAACGTCTTTCTGAGATTGTTGGTGACAGTGCTGAACAATTTGAGGATGCTCACTGCATGCTTATCACGGTATGTATGCGCAAAAGAAAATAGTTTACACTCATTAGCAAAAGAAAACTTTTGCATTTGCAAACTATATGCATTTGCAACGTTTTGGGTGCCATGCTAAACTTGCATTTTTCTTCATCACAACAGAACCCAGCTGAGGACTCGTGGGAGGATCCAGCTCTGGAGAAGCTTCACATGTTCTGTGAAGAAAGTCGCAGCTATAACGAGTGGGTTCCTGAGATCACTCTGCCCGAGCGTTGATCTGGAGCTTTACTCTTCTCTGTTGAGATGCTGCAAACCTTGAGGAATACTCGACTCATCCTTCGAAGCAAGGATGCTGATGTTTCCACATCCCTGGATGCTCCTGAGGAGGCTGAACCGTCCAGGCAGCGCGAGGCAGGCCCGAGTGGCCCTCGCGGTTCTACGTCGTTCCTCGTCCCGTCCATGCCAAGATGATCCTCATTCTTTATGTGAATGAGGTCAGGTATGCCACGAGAGCGACACAATGGCCCTCATTCTTTGTGCGGATGAGGTTTGGAGAGGAAGGAGAAGCGAGTTTTGCCTCTGTTCCACAGAGCAAATATCGCATGCGTTGAACACGCAGAGGACGCGGCGGTGCGTCGAAGCAACGTTTTTAAAAATGGACTTTAACATCTCAGACGTTTTTAAAAATGTAATTGCTGCACAATATAACGTACCTTATTGTCGGCAATGTGCTTTCCACTTTCCAGAATTGTCTTATTCTCTAAAGGTTTCACTTTAGAAATTTTAAAATGACATAAAAGAAAAAAAAAAAGAAAAGAAAAAAAAAACTAACTTAAAAATCTCTAAAGGTTTCACTTTAGAAATATGAATATGATAAAAAAAACAGAAAAAACTAAACTTAAAAATCTCTAAAGGTTTCACACTTTAGAAATATTTGATATAAAATGTAAGAAAAAATATTTAAATGTTGTTTGACTTTGCATTACAACTTTTGCATTGTAGAAATGATGCAATAATGCATAAAAACAATAAATGTATTAAAAATGAAAAATTTTGTCATGTGTTCACTCTTCAGCAGATGTCAAAAACACATTGCATTCTCAACACATTCACACACCATATCTGGTATGTCATGGATATATTTAGGCTATATTTCGAGAATGAAAACGAGGCCAGGGGATTAATGTTCAGTAAGTTGTGTTGTTTTATAACTTGTAGCCTACTTGTTTAGCTGACACATTGCAAAATGCATCAATTTCCTATAGTGACATAGGCCAATACTCGTGAAACGTGTTAAAAGTAGTCGCCATATATCTTGAACTCGCTGCACGTGTATCCTTCAGCCTAATTTTTATTCTCTAAACATAAAATGACGTCTATAGTGAATAATGGCCATTCCTAAAGTTTTCATTCTGAAGTAACTCTGGATTGGGGGTAGCATATAGTGTCAGCTGCCATCTGCAGCCGCTGGTGATCTGCATGTGTATAGCTACAGCACAATAGTAGCGCGCTGTCCCGTTAAATTGGGGGCCCCAGCACAAGGAACTCATTGTTACCTCGGCAGATGTCTGAGCCACGGCGCTACACCATCTGCCAAGCAGCGCAGATGGGAGGTGAAGGCTGTGTCGCGGGGGTGAGTGTTGGGCTGGCACTCGTATGGATCCCTGTCAGTTGCTGTATTGTTTACAAAGCGCCCATGGCTTCTGCACGGATTGCTGCAGCTCTCAGCGTTGAGAGAGGGGCTTCAATGAAAGCACAGAGAGCCTGTAAACTGAACATGATGTAGGGCCATTTAGTGAAAGCTGGTACACAAAAATGGAAGAAAGCAGTAAAATCAGACAAATTATATAAATTTTTATTTGCAAAAAATAAAAAAGCTGACTGAAACACAAATATTACACTGACAATTAAGTAAAATTTCTTGTGAAAGTAGTTACTGAAAGGAAACTATTTTAAAAGTACTGTTTAAGTTAATAAGAATTAGCATAGTTTCTCATTGATTTGGTCTATTAACAGTAAAATGCCACAACTCCAATAGTATTAGGCTGATTACATGGCCCAAATATGAAAACTTTATTCATTTATTAACCCTCTTGTTGTCCCAAATATGTACCTTCTTTATTCTGTGAAACACAAAAAGAAGATATTTTGAAAAATGTTGCAGTGCTATTTAGAACATATACAATTAAAGTCAATGGGGTCCGGTATTGTTTTGGACCCCACTGACTTTCATTGTAGTATGGACAAAAAGACTGAATAAAAAGGGTGAACTATGCCTTTAAGAAAGCACACACAGTTTCGAGGAGTGCCGTAGGTTCCTATAGGCACGGAGACTGTCTCTTTTAGGATCTTTGACGACTCCACTGATTATAGGCGCAGACTCGGCTCCATTGTTTCTTTTAACTCTGTGCAATAATATGCGGTAAACCCCTGTAATAGGACTGCGAATGCGCTTTCCTTGGTTATTGAGAATATGTTCCTGAGTGACTCCCAGTTTCTCCAGGATACCTTTTACCTCTTCCTGGTCTCTGTCTAACTCCGCTGGGCTGGCCTCTATTAGATGGACGGGGTTGAGCTGGTATAAGGGAGGAATAGGCCGGAAGAGTTCCACCGGCAGCAGCCACTCGCAACCCAGCATCTGGTCCAGTGCGCATCGCTCCGAAGGTTCTGGCTTCAAGATCCCCCTGATCAGCCGCTGACATGGAGCTGATACCCAGGTTGGCACAAAAATGTCATGAATTATTAGTTACTAATAGTTACTAAATTTAAAAAAATACTAAATATTAATAATAAGCTCTTTAGTGAGACAATAAAAGATGATGCAAACTATAAGGGTAAACTAGTGTTTTTCAAAAACACTTTTTATTTTAAATAATTAAAATACATTTTATTGCAGAAATTTGCTCTTCATGGAACAGGTGTATTCAAACAATGCACTGCATTTTTATGTGTTTTTGAATTAATAGAACTGGTTAAAAATTTCACAATTTTTCTGTACTTACTATGACTTACTATTAGTGTGTTTTCTATAATCTAGATAAAAAACAACTTTGGCGCAACTTGGCCACAGTGTCAGCGCGGAAAGGCAATGTGCCAGTCACAATGAAAAAAAGTAGGACGCCCATTGCCCACACATCCACAGGTCGCCCGATGTAAGACTCATCTTTGAAGAGTTCTGGAGCTGCATAAGGAGGAGAACCGCAAAAGGTGTCTAGGGCTTGGTTGCGATTGTTGACCCTCTTGCTGAAGCCAAAATCAGCCACTTTTATGCAGGAGTTGGTTGTGTAAAGAACATTTTCAGCCTTCATATCTCGATGGATGATGTTGTTCTCATGCTGAAATGAACACAGATATATGAATTCAAGAAAATGTCATCAATTCAACAGTCATCCAGTGATTCAAATTATTTGGGTCAATGACATACACCGTGTTTTCTATAATCTAGATAAAAAACAAAAAGTGATACATTGTTGATATAGAAGTTCTAACCATGTATTTGACTGCTGACAGGATTTGGGCGAATACAATCTTGCTCTCTTGGTCAGAGAGTTTTCCTCCTGAGCTGATTCTGGTGTGGAGGTCTCCTCCTCCAGCGAACTCCAGAACCAGGTACAACCGACTTGGCGTCTCTAGCACCTCATAGAGTTGCAATAAGTTTGGGTGATACAAGCTCTCCATGTTGGAGTTCTCTCTGGACAGCATCCGCTGAGTCTGCAGATCGAGCCTCATCTTATCCATGATCTTAATGGCCACCTTGTCTACAGGACATGCATGTGGAATAAAATCAGGATGAGGTCATTACACATTACTCCTGTTACTCTCTTAATTCTGACCTAGACTCAAGAAGTCAAGTGTTTATTCAAATTATATTATGCTAAATCTCTTCTACCTTTGGTGAGGGCATGGACGGCCAGTTTGACCTTCGAAAAGTTCCCACAGCCGATCTGACCGCGGACTTTATAGAATCCCACCCTTCTGTCCACCGTCAGTTCTTTTATGGTATCTTCGTCATTGCACATTTCCAGCGTTAACTTCTCCAGGGGTGTCAGTCGCTTGGAAGGTTCTGCATCCTCTTCCGTCTCTGACCCACATTCCGAGCTGTCCATCAGAGTGTAAATGTTGTGACGATGCACCTGCGGCAACACCTGACTTGCACTTGCAGGCATTTTTCAGCTGCTTAATGCTGAAAAACAGAGATAAATAATATTTACCTTTGCATAGAAATGAATATACAGCATATGCATTGCATGTCGATAACAGTGAAAATATCTGATATTCTTGTTCTTGATTGAGGAACAACCCCATAATAAGGGATAGTTATATATTTTATTATATATACAGTGGGTACGGAAAGTATTCAGACCCCCTTAAATTTTTCACTCTTTGTTATATTGCAGCCATTTGGGATAGTATAATTCTCACACAAGAATGAAAATTCTGTGATTAGCATCAATTTTCATGGAAGTCTATGGCTACTGGCATTTGTGTTTAACAGAAGAGGGAAACTCAAACAAGGTTGGAACAACATGACGGTGAGTAAATGATGACAGAAATTAAATTTGGGGGTAAACTAACCATTTAAAATCGTACTAAGCAACATAGATGTAATTGAATTAATTATTTAAAAATCAGAATGAACATTATTAGCTGGCATGAACATATAATCACATCCCATACCAACACTAATCCCATAAATAAACAGTTTACTTACACTTATTAATTATTCAAATTGTCTGTTGTACTGTTTATTGTAAAAGTTAACAAGCATGCCAATTGAACTTTGACTCTAAATCTATACATAACATTAGCATATGTTTTATTAAATTAGATGATCTTACTGCTGTGCTCAATTGTAGTAGACCAATGCATGGCTGCTTTTCTTTTTTATAGGATTAGAAGTCAACGAATATGTCCACATGTTGATATTTTTTAAGGTTTATGTTCTAAAGAATGAACCATAATATTTAGCTTCTTTTACAAATTAAAAAAGAGTTACATTAGGTTCTTGTTAAGGTCACATATGACTGGCATTCATTTTATCTGTCCTGTTCTGTAACTGCGTGAATAAAAAGCATTGATGTGGTTTCTCCTGGATAGTCTTCCTGTCTCCAGGGAAGTCTTCAGCTCTCTCCGTCCATGATTCTGTCAGAGTGAAAGAGAACATGCTAGTATCATGTTTCCTAATCTGCCAGCTTTATTTAGATTTACCTTAATCCTCCCCGCTGTCCTAGACGATGCCTGTGATGAACAAAAGCCAAGAACTACAACCAAAGGAGGGTGAATAAACAGCAAACATGTGCACCACTGATTCTTTCGAAACAACAACTCGTGGGAGATATTGTCATGTTTGATCTGGTGGGATACAATCACACAGGAGGTCAGAAGAAAACCTTATAGACATGATCGTCAGTGATCTTAATGAGGCTGATCTCTGACTGTACAACGTAGGATCAGACGTTATGTAACAGCTTTACTAATGAGATTACTGCAGGACCTCCTTGACACATAAAGGGGTTTGGCTGATATGATTATTACTCATCCGTCAACCTCTCAATGGGAATGATGAGGCTTTACATTCTCCCATGTGCCAGATGCTGTTTTATCAATGTATAATATCTGCTTCTATTCTCGTCCAAATGAGTTCAAAATTCGACATAATGTACAGTGTTGTTATCGTTAACTAAAACTATTAAAAGCATTTTTGTTAATTGAAATAAATCTGATAAAAAGTACAGTTGCCAAATTTGCATTTTTAAAAAAATCTAACAAGTATTTAAATAATCTAAAACTGAACTAAAGCTGAAAAAAAATCAATTTTTACACAAATTAAATTAAAAGGAAAACTGAAAAAATAAAAGCTTATTTAAAATATTGATAAAAAACTATATTTTACTAAATTATATGTTACTAAAATAGCACTGATAATGTTGCATGCAATAATGTCTGCATGGAATAAATTATTTTAAATACATTGTTGTAACTGTTAAGCTGCTGAGTGATTTAAACTGTACTTTAACAGTAATTAATTTCAGTAGTCCAATTCTCTGAATGAACCAGCATTTTCCTAGTATTTGATGTCATGAGAGTGTATTGTGAGCATGTGCATGTGTGTGTTACTGAAGAAGGCACCGAATTACCAGCCGTCTCTATTGATGAGATTACAAGCTTTATCTGGAAAACGGCGGTTGTGTTTACAGGTGTCCCGAACCAATGCAAAAGCACTCGAGCCGTAATCTCCTGGAAGTCCATGTCACCTGCTATATCCTTCCCTTCTGAATGACCTCTCATATAGCAATGTCTTCACAGTTATATGTTCATAAATGTTTATTTATTATAGTGGAAAGGCAATAAACACGTATATTGAAATTAAGAACACAACAGAACGTAACTGAAAAATATTTAGAACATATTCTGAGGGAAATGTGTTTTAAAATAAATACAACTGTCAAAGAGTTGGATGAAGGCCCTCACGTATCAATGGTCAGATCAAAATAAGTCTCAGTTTTTCCTCCTCTTCAGACGAGAGTCCATCAATCCCTGAAGGCTCTGCTGTTCCAGCTCTCTCACCCTCTGACGCAGAACCTCAATCTCTTTGTTTTTCTCCTCCTGAATGAACTGGAGCTTCTGGAGACACAAACAGACTGATTCGATATAGAGAAAGAAATAAAGGTGTGATCAGAAACCTTGCTTTCCTCAATGCCATGAGGTGTTTTGATGAATGCCGCTGTATGACGCACTCTTTTAAAGATATTCTGTGGATGAGGACCAGATGCTTGTGTCTGTGGCTGACTCTTTGTGGACATGCTCTGGGCCCTTGCAAGCTTAGCACCAAACTGCAAAGGAAAAAGTAATTTTACAGCCGTAAAACTGTGCAAAACAAATATAAAATGAACAGTTTTAAGAAAAATACTAAATGTTTTTACCTAACTTTTAGTTTATTGAAAGTTATTACATTTCAATTTATTTACAAAACAACTAGGTTAACAAATTAAATTCTACCTCCATTTGAAGTTTAATGATTTGGCTTTGCATTTCTTTCTCCTTCTCTCTCATCTGCCTTCTCATCTCCTCCAAAGCGCATTCATTTCTCTCATGAGCCACTTTCAGTTCATTATCTTTAGCATCCACTTTGAAAACAAAATGGAAATGTTTTCTTTTTAAATGTGTAATACTGCAAAATGTTTAACAGCATCTGATGGCTGTCTCATCTGTTTTATTCCTGTTGATAAGGGTGGTAAAAAGTGTTGTGATTTTCCCTCACATTTCATTTTTGTTTCTTTATCACAGTCTTCTAACTCCCTCTGGTGTTGATCTTGTAGGGCTTTCATCTCAGCTGCCATCCTCTGAAGCCGAGTATTGCTTTCCTAGAACCACACAGGGGCAGAATCGAGCACAGACACTCAAAACTCCCTACATTTTATGCTTATGCCATCAGTACTATATCTGAATACATTCCAATTCTACCTTTAATTGATCTTCGTTTTCTTTCTTCATCTGAAGAGCTGCATTTTTCAGCCTTTCATTTTCAACTAGATAGAGTTGTGATTATTTGTGAATATTTGTTTTTTGGATAGGGAATTAAATTATATTAAGTGAAGAGTTCGGGTTAATAATTGCTCTACCTCTGAGGTCGCACTGTTGATGTAAGGTTTGTTGTAGACCTTTGACAGTTTCCAAAAGCCCATCTCTCTCTGTGAAGAAAATAAAGCCATGTCGAAGAAACAGCATTATTATACTGTATACTGCAACAATCAACGAATAACTTTTCTTAACTTTCTCAGTACAAAATACTTTCAAGTATGGGAATAGAAATATAAAACCTAAACACAAAATTTGTAAAGCTTCAACATTTCTGCAATAACACCGCTAGATAGCAGCCGAGATTAGTCTGGCCCACTTCTGTGGTAAATACCTCGTTTGTTTGTTTTACCTCATAATTGTCTTACCTTCAATTAACTGTTTCTCCTTGTTCTGTGCGATTTTTAGACGTCTGCTAGTCTCGTCCAGCTGTATTTCAAGAGTATTATTTTCCCCTTTCATCTCCGTAATTTTCTTAATCATACAAAACAGTAATTTACCTCAGAATATTAGCGAACTCACGGAGCTTTTGTAAAAACACTACTACGTTCTTCACATGGCTTATTTTAAAATCTTAAATATACATTTAAAGACCTTACATGCTCCAGTTGGATGAAATCTTTGACGAGTTTAGTCAAGTCGACGGCAGTGAGCTTTTTCATGTTGACCAGTCTAATAGGTAACAAATGATAAATATCTGACGCTTTCTCGCTTTTAAGATAAATATAGTAAACAATGTATGTTAAACAATTTTCTCAACATATATTCACGGTATGCTTGTCTCCAAGATTAACAACTGGAAAGGAGCACGTGGGAAACCAGATTGTTGGAAAATCCTTGCAGTTCATTTCTTCGAAATATCAATCACGTGATCCCTGGAGGTATTATAACGGGAGTGGTAGGTGTCAGAGTGCAAAACCAGTATTTCTGAGTTCATTGCTGCCATTTATTTAGAGATACCTCGTATGTACTGTACACATTATAGTCACATTATAGTTTAAAAACATGAACCAAGGCTAAAACATAGCAATGAGTAGACAACCCTGCTGACAATAAAAAAAGTTGCTGTTGTTTTAGATGGTTTTACAGCCTGGCATAGCCAGTGTTTAACAGGAATCCTGTCTGTCTAGAAAGTGGCCCAAAACCACTTAAAGACCAATGTGAGAGTCCAGTAAACCAGTTTAAGGTGTGTGTGTGTGTGTGTTTCTTTTGCAGCTAAGAAAGCTTGTCATAAAAACCAAATTAACCATATTTACATTGAGGCACAAAAGCCTGTCCAGTCTTTTATGGAAGGAAAAAATGGCACTGAGGACAAAAGCCTGTAACAATTCACATAATCCCCTTTGATTTAAATGTGCACTTATTTTTTTTAACACTAAAGTTGAAATATATTCTAAAGTAGGCACTTTACAGTTTACACAGACATGTAGTTGGTAGTTAGTGCACTGAAAACAATACAAACGCACAAAATATGGAGCGTTAATTCAGCAATATAGCTGTTATATAACATGTGAGAGCATAAAATATCAGTTGTTATCTTTTTATGACAGTAAACAGCCAGCTAATATACTTCTGCTCCATATCTGCTCAAACTAACCCTTGAAGCTGTTAACCCTCCAAATTAGGAGAATACAGAAAAGACTCCAGGCCTAATACAGCCATTTATTAGCTTGCCAATAGATTTGTTTCATGACATCTATTCCACTGGAGAAAGCTTGAGAAATTGCTTCGTTTCAAAATTCCCTTCTCATGGATCACACATCTTGTTTGATTTTGGCTAACCATGTAAGATATCTCACAAAGAGCGCAAGCGTACTCCACTTTTAGTTAAGGTGTAATGTTGTCGAGTAAGTCAGGAGTCAAGTACCCTTCAGGAGTGGGCAAAGTCTTCACTGCTGCCTTCTCTGGGGCGGTTGGTGTATTTGGTTTCAGGAGGAGACTGTTTTTCCAGTCCACGCCATCTACCATGGTGTACTCTGGACTGGTAGGCTTTGCAAGGATGGGAAATGCTGTGGACTGAATGGATGTAACAGTCTCAGTGCTAAGTTTTTGAAGGTCTCTGAATGCACCGTGTTGTTCTTGACTCTGTAATTGGTCTGTCAGTGGGTTTGGTTTATTGTGGTGGGTGCTGATTGTGCTGGCAACAAACTCGGAGGTGTAGCCTCTTTCATCAGGGATCACCACCAACTGTTGGATTTCTTTCCCTTTATTGTGGTTTTTACCCTTCAGAGCCATCGTTTCTTTCTCTTCAGGAGAAAGTACAACTCCACCATGATGAGTGACGTCACTGACCTGTGAGTAAAGACTGTTTGACCAGGTAGTGTCTTGTGGAGAGAAGGCTGCCGGTTGCTGTGGCCCAGACTGTGCGCGTAACAATGGGTGGAAACCATCGTGGCTGCTTGTTGAAGGATGATGTAGATCCGTTTGATCGTGATCTGACAGATCCGGATCACAGCAGCTAGCCCGACCCGAGTCATCATCCCTGAAACTACTGGACATTTGAGGAGAGTCAGAGACCGGAGAATCGGCAATAAGAAGCTCCTCCAGGCTCTCATGCGGTTCGTCGATGTCCACCTCTATGAACTCTACCCATGGATCGTTGCTGTACAGTTCTGGCCGCAAGCCGGGGTGAGTGCCTAAGATTGACGTGAATTCAGTCAGCTGACCTTTCTGTAAAGAAACAACCCAAATATAAAAGCTTTAATTTGTAGAAAATACCCTCAAAGTTCTACAAAAAAGGATGTGAAGTCAAATACCTGTAAAAGTACAGGGTCAATTCCTTTGATTTTTGGTCCAGGGACTGGCGGCAGGAAAATCACCATTAACTACACACATATATGCTGCAATGAGGTACAACATTAAAGGTACAGAGGGAAAGGACGGAGGAAACTAATGAGAGGTCAGGAAATCATGGTATTCATACACAAAGCTGACAGATTTCCTTTACACTGTTAAATAACAAAGCAGGTACTTACTTTTGTTGACGTGAAACTACAACCAGCATCAAAATAATCACAATACCAACGGCAGCAAAGACCAACACAGCTGTAATAGGAATTCTTGATTCTAAAATTGAAACAGAGCAATCAAAACATCATTGAAAAAAATTAAGTTAACTTCCTAACAAAATCTACAGACAGGTAGATCTTAAATCAGACCTTTGTTAGGAATGAGTATAAAGATGGATTCACTGAAGACACCAAAGTTGTAGTCTCTCATTTTTGACCTGACTCTGACTTCGTATTCAATGTTGCTGCGCAGAGCATAGATGTACGCCTGTGTGTCTTTGCCATTATCCAGCTGTAGAGAGACAAACAAGGATAAGGCACATAATAACACTCCAACCTTGAAGATAATGAGCTCCAAGCGTGGTCTAATTACGGCTGCAAAATCCAGGTCATAATCTTTACCATGGTGAATCAAATGTAATGACTCATAAGTGTTCTTAGAAATCACTTTTAATAAAGCTTCAGAGGAACATTTGACTTCAAGTCTGTTTCTCATTAGGAGCTTATTAGAATTCTGCTGGTGTTGGCGCCGATGGCCTCGTGGGCAGCGCGCCGACATGTAGCGCCTTTGCGCTTTGGGCGTCCCGAGTTCGAGTCCCGGATCGTGGACGTTTCCCGATCCCACCCCTCTCTCTCTCACCCACTTTCCTTCCTGTTGACCTACTGTCCTATCTAAATGCTGATTGCACAACGTTGCATGAGACTTACTGAGTTCCACTGGTCTGAACCCTTTTCTCTGTACTGTGTCTCGTATACCAGCAAGATCCATCCTGTCTTCACATTCTCTGCAACAGATGGGGGTGGATCCCAGCTCACAACCACATCATAGATTAAGCCAGTTGAGCCCTTGCTCAAAAGAGTCCAGTTCAGTCCTACAGGCGGGTCTGGAAACACTGAGAAAATAATGAACACATGCTTAAAACTATTCTGCACATTAATGCAATGGAAAAAGTGATTTATTTATCTGAAAGGATGGTGGGAATGCTTAGTATTTTAGACAGCATCATTCTATACACAACAATATACAGTATATATATATATATATATATATATACTGTAGATTTTGATAAAAATATGTTTTCATTAAGTACAGACATTACAAAAAGTAGCTTCAGCAAGAAATATTTTGTTTGATTAAATTTTTTAGATATACTCTTTTGGACCATGAGGGTAAGTAAATGCATGACACAATTGTCATTTTTGGGAGGGTGAACTATACCTTTAATAATTTATTTCATTAATGTTATTATTATTACTATGGAAATATATATATATATACAGTATATTAGCAATATATTTTTGTATATTCTGAAATATTTAAAAAATATATGTGAAAATATTTTGAAAATAGTTTTGCTACAAGGGATTGTGTACTTGAAAGCATGCCAAGAAAGAAAAGACAAAGAGTCAGGGTTTGTGTTTACGACATGGCTTACCAATGTCCTCCACGTTGAAGGACATTTCATCATAAACAACGTCAAGAGAGCGTGAACGCAGCTGGACCACATAAGGGAACCATATAATGGTGTTACTGGAATCAAAGTAGCATTCATTTTTCCTTATAGAACTGTAACTTGGACATTCCATCCATTTCTTAGAATCCCTGCAGACATGTGGAAAATAGGTGATCGTTAAGTAGAAGAACAGTCATTTTTCTAACAACTTAACAGCTTCACTGATTGTAGCTTGTATTAATTCTCTTTACTTGCAGGTGCAAAAGAATTGTGTTGACAAATAATACTTAAAATCATAAATTTTTTATGTATCAATAGTGCATTTTATTCTATGGTGTTATGTGTTACTAATTACTTTTCTAATATGTAGAAAAGTCTCAGATCCTTGAGTTCCGTGTGGTTCTGGAGGGATTCAGTCTCCCACTGACAACGGAAAGTCATCAGCTCTCGAGAAAAGCAGCCAGTCAGATGAGGCATTGTTGAAGTCTGACCTGCTAGAAAGGTGAAGAAAATACTTAAACCCTTGCTGGAATTGAACATACTTGCTTTAAGGCATGCCTCTAAGAAGTCTAATGGACCAGAATAAAATACCAGGAATGTAATTTAGACTTTATTATAACGTGTCACTGCATCTGCTGACATGAATGCGGCATCAATAATTTAATTTTATATTCTACAGCTTCATATTTTATAAACAATTTATAAATGATAAGGAATTAGGTTGAAATTGTTTTGCTTTTTTAATGTGTTATTCAAGCATAGCTGAGAATTATCAAATGTTTTACAGCTAGAATAATATTCTGAAAAAGGGCAAAAATTCTGTGAATGTCCTTCAGTTTAAACCAGCTTTGGACTAACAGGATGTAACATAAATCCCAGTTGGGCTATAACTGTCAGCTGTGTTTTCCTGGAAATGTGTGCTGGCAATTTTTCGCATGTAGAAGCATTCGAGTGGCAGTGCGGCATTACTGCCTGCAAGCTCTTTGAAAGGATCTTTCCAAGCTGCTCAGCTGACAGCATTTAGACAGCAATACTGATAAAACTTTAATTGACTTGAATTTGATTTGAACTAACAGCTAAATTTAAATGTAGTAGAGTGTAAACTTAAGTAGAGTGTAACAGAAGAACTATTGAGGTTTTATTTATATGCCACATCACATTCTGTATGGTCTGGTTATTTACACTGCCAGTGTTTTTTCCAGCTAGTTACATCATCATAGCTTATTGTGTAGTTCCTTTTTTTCCCATTTGTTCCAAGAAATACAGAGGAATGATCATTAAGAACCATCATACTAGCATGGTTTGTGTCTGTTTTGGGTTACTGATGTGTCAGTATTAGTATTCAGTTACAGAACAAAATTACCTGGTTCATTTGCAAACATAGTCTCATGCCTGTGAGTTTGACCATTTTTTAAACATTTAAAATTACAAATTACCTTGCAAATGAATTTTTTTCTGTCCAATAAATTGGCCATGTAGCTTAATATATATGTATTTTTTTATTTTAATAATAATCTGCCTGATAAAGGATAGGAATGAATCAAAGTTGTCATTTCTATGGTCCTATAGAAACTAATGTATAGCTCAAATAGCACCTGCAGAGTTATGTCGTGAACCTAACCATCCATTTCATATAGCAACATGCACTCCCTCCTAGAATGGTGGCGGTTAAAAGCTGAAATAAAACTGTGTAGTGTAGTTCATTAATTCCATCCTAGAGCCAGGAAAAATCTTGGTTCCGGCTCACATTTCAGCCTTCTGATATTTTATTGGTGGGCTTTTGATTGATTCCATAATTGGTTTAACTAGAGTTAGAGTACCCTGCATTTGGAGTTCTGTTATTAAAAATCTGTTTTACTTATGGATTTATTTTATTTCTTATGTAAAATCCAGTCAGTCTGCATTATGCAGAGGTCCGTTGGACTCTCTGGGTATTTGCAGAAAGCCAAGGAGCTACCTTTAACCTTAGTGTTTCACAATGGCTCCTAAACTAATAAGAGAGGGTTGGTTCCTAAAGAAAACATCCTGTTTTCTTGTTGTTTAGCTAAACTGTTGTACAAAAGGCTCTTAAAGACATTTCTAACCTCTCAAGCCAGACAAGTCATGTTGGGTTAGTGCAAAACATGACTGTGTATATATAAAAAAACTACAAACCTTGTATTGTAGGAGGCACACTTTGTGTTGCCACAGCACAGGTCAACAAGATACAGATGAAAAGGGTGGTCTCCATGATATAGTCCCTGTGAAAACCAAAATAAGGTCCATTATGAAATTGTTTAACAATCAACATTGCGAAAAATGGAAGCAACCACCAGCAAATAGTCATAAATCCTCATAAGTCTTTACTCTAATTCAGTTCAATCACTGTTAGGCCATTCCCTTTCTATTTGAATAAACAAGTCGAATTATTCATTTGTTTCATTGTAGAAACCAATCAGTCCATGATACTGACAGGATTACGAAATCACAGTAAACACAGTCCTCTGCCATCCATTTTAAGCCAAAGGCTCTAGCCAGTGGTTGTGAAATATATCCTCACTGCAACATGGCTTCTCTCCAATCTGTTTCTGGAAAACATCTTCTCAGAAATCCATATGACCCCTTTAACGTGACAGTTCAACTATACACCACAATACCACAAGGGACTATCTATCAAAGAAAAAAACAAAACAATGAACCACTGACATTGTAAAGAGTAGTTGTGTAAGTAAAGTACATGTGTATCAATCAAACAACCATCTTTAAAGTATTTCAGCAGTACATGTCAAATAAATGTAGTGGCACTAAACATTCTGTCCACTGGGTCTTTTCTCCGTTTGTAGCCACGCTTGTGTTCACGGCGTTCCAGATCAGTTTTTTGAGTTGTTAGCCTAGAGCGAGGAACAAGCAAGTTATCACATTGTATTTTATTCACACAAATAACATCATGTTGTCTTAATTTTGCCTCCAGCAAGTAGCAGGTTTTTAAAGTTGAACCTTTTTTTTCAGGATTGCTGTCAGTGTTTTTGGGGTGGGTGGATTGGAAATTCTAGAATGGAGCTGAAGCTAGTCCGCAAGGGAGTGGAACGTTGCGTTCCAAATGTAATAAATTTATCTCCGAAGGGCATTTTGAAGTAAGAACAATCATACTGAAGGGCCATTGCAAATATAATTGCTCAAAACTGGCATCTTCAAAGGCCAGAAGGATTTCGAAGGCTACAAAAGATGGACAACTCGCTCCCATGATTCTTTGCATAGGTTTAATTGTGTGATGATAGCGCCTCCTTAATTGGAAAGTTGATGCAGATATGTGTTCCAAGGAACAGTTTTTTGGTCCCCTACACCCTTTGAATCTCTAACTTTGGAGGGTAAACCCTTCGAAGAGATTAGGGCATAGGTATGAGCCCTTCAAAATGGAGCAATGGAAATCTCTGTCCTTCCGCTCCACTCACGGATTCCAGTTTATGTGTTGCTTGGTGACTCTGAAAGCTTGAAAGGTTGGCTTCTTTTGGAACAATTTTCCCGGAGAAGAAATATACAAACTAAATGGGCAGAATGTGTCTGAAAACTATACTCGATAAGAATTACTTTTATAATAGAACTGTTTAAAAGCAATATCACACAATCATGCCGAAGACAGAACTGAAGCCATTTAGTTTAACTCCTGCAATATTTAAAGGGGTCGTATGATGTTGCTACAAAGAACATTATTTTGTGTATTTGGTGTAATGAAATGTGTTTTAGCGTTTTCACAACATGGCGGCGGCGGTGGCAGCAACAATAAAGTTATGCTTTCTTTCTTTGCATTAACATTTGGGTGGTGTTATGCAAATCTTCCCACATTGTGATGTAGACATGTGGGGGCGTGTTTGAACGAGGCGTTTTAGGAGGGCGTGGACCAGTCTTAACTTTGATAAAGAATATCTCTTTGGGTTTGAGACTTTAGTCTTTGCAACTTTAGGGATCTTATCTATTCACGAACAGCTTGTAACACTCCAAAGAGAAAGGAAAACTTGAAATCGCATCATATGACCCCTTTAACTAAAAACATTTTGAATATAGCCTAGTCCTCCACATCTGGCCACGATATGTGGTGAAAACTTTTCAACTGTCAGGTAAACCTAACTGTTGCACAATCCTAATCCTTAAATTGCACGCATAAACATCATGATAAACGTAAACAAATAAGTGTTCCAAACGGAAATACAGAACATGCATAAAAAATGCATGCATTATTTTTTTAAAGTTTACATGATACATCTGTATTATATGTATTTTGTTTTGCCCTTAAAAAATAAAATTCATAATGTTAATCTTCCACAACAGCAACCGCTGCTTAAATCGAAAAGATACAGAATAAATCCCACGTTTGTCTCACTACACTGAACTCACCTTTTCCAAGAGTGCGGTGCGATTCAGATTTGTAGATCCTTAACTTCTATGAAAGTATTCCTCAGGGAAGCTTGACTTCTTGGTATTATAGTAGCACACCTTGGTTAAATTTATATCTTCTATCAACGGTTTAGAAAAAGCATAATAAATGAGCCCACTTTTCTCTTCTACAGCTTTGCTTAAAACGTGTCCTGTGGTTGTGACAGGACCTCAGTTTACCCACTGGATATCAGGCTGCAGCATTCCGTACTAGTTTTTTTTCTAGGGCACATTCGAAGAAAGGCGCCACTTTTCCATGAAGCACCCTGCGTAAGGAGCTTAAAAGTAAACCTTATACAGCAAGACACTCTTAATCGGTTTACTGCATGTAGAGTTTCGCATGCGAAAAAATAAATGTACGTGGGACTCCGCCCTAACAAGCGTCATAGTGTTTTCTCACAACTAGCCTTTAGGAAAAATGGCACGCAATTTATTTATTTATCAGTTATTTTTCTACACCACCGTTCGCCTGCGTGCTGAACTTTGCGGGCAGAGCTGAGATTCATTTCAACAAAAAAAAAAAGAGAGAGCGAGAGGGAGAGATTAATTTCTTCTAAAGATATTAGAAGATATTCTTCTGTAGATATAAGCAACAGATAAAGAAAGTCATTTTCAGAGCTGTGTAATTGGGTTTTCACAAAGCCATCGAATTCATTCTCATTTTTAATAGCTATTGGCAGGTTTTGTGGTGCTTAGCACTCCACATATAGGCGCTTACATTTATGATAAACAATGCAGAGCTGAATGGGTACACGTGACTGGAGTAGGGCACGTGTTTAAGGGGTCTTGCAGTAGGCTGCAAAACTACCATTAAGATTCAACAAGAACAAATGTGTAGTAGAAAAGTTTGTGGGGCAAAGTGGAGAATTCAAAAGTTGGGCTTTTGTTAGTTGTTACACTTTTTACTACAGTGAAAAGTCATTTTGACTACAAAAACGCTATTGAACATTAGTAGTGAATGGCCATGAAAATCAAGATTTTATTTTTTATTTAAAGTTATCACAGGTCTGTTAGCAACGTTTAAACACTAAAATAATTACGAAACATAAAAAGAAAAAAAAATGGGAAGGTTATATACAGAAATTGTGTTTTTAAAAAGCTGCATCACATAAAACACATGCCTAACCTGAAATTAATTAAATGAAATTTATCATTATGAAAAACTTAGTTGCTGTGTTCGCTTGTTTATCCAACAGCTAATACAAAAATCATGACATTGGAATTTTAGTGTGGTAAGGCTCATGTTCATGTATTTCATGTATTTGAGAAGCAAAGAAAACATTTAAAAGGTATTATAAATATCATTCTGTCTTATCTCTGAGTTTAACCGAAACGTACAAACCCATTTTTTATGTCTGTTGTTGTATGTTTGGGTTCCTGGAGACATTCAAGCTTACTATTAATTATAAATCTCAAAACAGGGTCATTTCCAGAATCATAATTGTATACATTTAGAGGAACGTTTCATGATCCACTCTTAAACTCTCATAAATCTCAGGATGACAGACACACAGCATATCTTAGGTCATTAACTCAACCATGTGTCTGTGGTGTCCAGTGTCCGTTTCACTCCAATTGTTATTGTGGTAGTCTGGAAATTTCTCAACAGCTGTCAGACTTCTCAAAATGGAAAGACCTTTAACCCTGGTCTTCTATAGTTTTGCATGGCATGTAAAATTTGATTAAGTGTGCTCTTATAACTCTTATAACTTCTTCCCTCTACATAGTGCGACCTCACGTTGGTGACATCGTGGACTTTGGGAGGGTTGTTGACTTTTAAAGAAGTCCACATCCGTAATACAGCAACTGAATTTACAACTAAATGCAAACAATGGTTTATGATTTTGTATAATTTATTATAGCTTCTATTGATGTATTGAAGCCAATATGGAAGGGGGGTTGGGGTTGACATGATCTATAATGACACAGTACAAAAGTACTCTTCAAACTGCCCTAAACCCCCAAAAACCCGCCCTTTGCCCTATTTTAAAACAGAGCAGGATTGATCCAGGTTCTGTAGTAGACAGTGATTACTTTCCTGTAAAAAGTTTAAGTTGTTCTGAAAATGCATTTTCAGAGATTACTATCTAGGTCAGATGCTCTTCTCAGAGGCAGACTAATATCATTAAAACCACAGGGACGTGTTTATCGTCATGGTAAGGTAAGTAACAGTTAAATTTAGGGTCCATTAAGTAAACAATTGCATTATTTTAGGTTTCAGACAAATAATTTGAATTGATTGATGCTTATTTATTTGTTTATGAGTATTTAATGTAATGTTTTAAGGGACTAAAATGAATATATGACTATCCTTGAATAATCTTTGTTTCTAAAGATTTTTTGTTCCCTAATCAGTTATGACAAATAAAGATGCAAATCAGTCATTCAAACAAATAGCTTTGTAAAGTTATATATTTTCCATATACAAAGGAACCGATTAAAATAAAGTTTCAAATAACAATGTAAAATAAGCTTTAAAATAAACAAATTCCACTGTATTGATTCATTGTTTGAACAGCAATGATGTTTGCACAGAATATCAGTATATGTCCACGTGTCCACATTGCGCTGTCAGGTTGTTTGTGACGCATGAAGCTTGGCATTCTGCACATTTAATTTTGCGTAATCAAAATCACAATATGCATTGATTTTCTGCATTTTATTTATCAATTTCTTTTAAAAGCTCTAATAAGACATTCAAATAAACATGTGTGATATCATATAATTCACTTCTGACTTCCGAATGCGTTGTTGTTTGCTTTGAACTTCTCTTCAAAGAGCTTAAGCCTGAAGCAAACAGCTATATTTACATCACTGTGAGCATCAACAGATAGTGTTTTATTCTTTATATTATATTTTTTATAGTGCCTAGTGTTTTATTTTTAATAGAATTTCACTGTAAAGATGCTTTCATTAAAGAAGAGAAAACCCCATAAAATAAACATGTTAGAAGAATGTCTTGCAAACGTTCCCATTATGTTTTGAAAATGTTATTTCTGAACTTTTTATAAAAAAATCTTTTCTGAACTTTGTATTATTATTATTTTATTTAGTCATGCGAAAGTTAAGGAAACATTCCATTTTATAATTTTGCAAACATTATGAAACATTCATCTGAATGTACTCCGAATGTTCCGAAACAATTATTAAGAAACATTTAGATGAAGGTGCAACTAAAACATTTCAGAAATAAAATGTTCTATGGATTATGTATAAATAATGTTGTTGTGCTAATGTTTTGAGAACATTATTAATTATCTGAATGAACATTTTATTGTTAACATTACTGAAAGAATGTTTGTTCATAACTTTGAGAGAACCTTGCCAGAACATTAGTTCCGAGAATGTTCTTTGTTAGCTGGGAACAAGCATTTTCACTTTAATTGTGCCTAAAACTATGCCATGCTCTCCCTGAAATGTGACAAAGCAGGAAATCTTATTTTCAGGTCAAGAAGTTCATGTATTAAAATGATTTAATTTATGACACTTTAACACCATTTGTCTTTTTTAATTATTTTATTTTTCAATATCTTACTTTTCTCAAAATCAAGATCCTACTTACCCCAGATTGTCCACTAGGTGTCAGGCTTTATCTGTGTAGCGATCTACGATTCTTTGTTTCTAGAATTATCAGTATTCATGTAATTACTAAACTTTTATTTACCTTTGCTGAACATAATCATTTTTTTAACAGGAAAACAACTCGTAATTTCAACCAGCCTATGTGTAAAGCAGCCAAAGTTACAATAGTGGAGGTTTGTGACCTTTCAATTTGTGGCTTTGACATTTTCTATCGTCATGTTTGAGGTCCCACAAAATAAAAAAAGAAAATGACTTACTTTGGTGCACAGGTTGAGGAGATTGTTGATATTGGAAGTTTTGGTCCTGAAGACATTCACATCCCTTCCATATATGTAGACCGGGTAGTGCAAGGAGCCAGCTATGAAAAACGAATTGAGGTGAAAAAATCTTCAAATTTAGAGCTGTTTATTTCCTTATTGTCAAAAATACAAGAATGTGTAGGTCATGTTCAGGATTTCTTTTGTTTATAGAAAAGGCTGGTTCAGTCTAGCAAGGAAGAGAAACCTAAAGTCAAACAGGACTCCGATATTACCCGGGAGAGAATCATCCGACGAGCCGCACTGGAGTTTGAGGATGGGATGTATGGTATCCTTCAGTAGCCTGACCACAGATATCACCATCAACATGATAGATATTGAAAAGTACACGTTTCTAACTATCCTGTTCCCACACACCTTGACAACCCTCCCAGCAAATCTTGGCATTGGAATCCCTATGCTGGCCAGCAATTACATTAGCCCTGAAATCACTGTCCACTTGCAGAGTGAGAATGGAATTTTGGGACTGGTGAGTTTCCATTATTAAATAACCTGAGCAAGTAATTTTCCGGCTAATGAATTTTCACTTTTCAATTTCCAATCCCCTCTTTTATTTTATTTTTAGGGTCCCTATCCAACAGAGAGTGAAGTGGATCCTGATCTAATCAATGCTGGTGCAGATCTCTTTATCACTCTATTTTATCACATTTGATGTTCTGTTAATAAAATTGTTACTACTCCGCATACACAAGTGTAGCAGTGAGTAAAAATCTTCAGTGCGAGATCCACCAACATTGCTGCCAAGTAATGACTAAAAAACAATATGAAGGTGTTCAGAATACACAGTATGCTTGCTATGCACAACATCATCTTAATAATAATATATATGATATACATTATATAAATATACTTGTTATATAAGTAATATATTGTAATTATTAAATAATATAAAATAATTCTAAAATCCTGCTTTACAACTCAGATCTTGGCCCTTTTGTGTGTGTTCAGGTAAGGAGACGGTAACAGTTTATCCAGGAGCTGCCTATTTCTCCAGCGATGAATCCTTTGCCATGATCAGAGGGTGAGTGTCTGAATGCATTGGTCATTTATGATTAAACTAAATACATCCAACTGCACGTGAAATTAGAATTTTTAGCGTGAGAATTGAGACGTGCAGCTTTTGGGGTACATTTTATGGAACATTTTTGATGTTGTTCGCCCTATTTTTCTTTCACTTCAACTTCTTCACCTTTTATACCCTTTTTTAGAGGTCACATTGACCTGACCATGCTGGGAGCAATGCAAGTTTCTAAGTATGGAGATCTGGCCAACTGGATGATTCCAGTATGAGTTTCATGCTCTGTATTTTTGTATCATCACTGATAGACATGCAGTATGTTTTCACTTGCCTGGTTTGACATGTTTCATGTGTTTCTCAGGGTAAAATGGTGAAGGGCATGGGTGGCGCAATGGATCTGGTGTCTAGTGATGCCACAAAAGTAGTTATCACTATGGAACATTCTGCCAAGGTACAATAATACAATACACTCTCACTTACAGTCATTATGTTTTAACATTTCCTATCACTCTGTGTAAAATAATTTTTTTTTTATTTAAAGGGTGGGAAACGTAAAATCTTAGAGAAGTGCACACTTCCTCTGACTGGAAAACAGTGTGTTGACCGTATAATCACTGAAAAGGTCAATAAAATTTATTTCAGAAAAACATAACATATCTTGCACCTTTTCAAGGACAGTGTGATGTTTGTTGTCACTTGTTCTAGGCGGTGTTTGATGTCGATAAGAGCAAGGGTTTAACTCTCATTGAGATTTGGGAAGGACTGACACCAGATGACATCAAAGCATGCACTGGGACAGAGTTTGAGGTGAGACTAGACTGTGCACAAATAAACTAAAACAACATTGTCCTTATTCTGGGACTGTGTTAGTCATGATTGTTGATTGTTACTTCAGTAGTGGCTGTGCTGAAAAGTTATATGCAATTAAAATTATTCATCCAGTAAACAAGATTATGAGCTGTTAAAACTTTGTACTTCGGAAGAAACCAGCCACTATTATGTCTTTCACACTTTCCTTTAGATCTAATATTTGTGGGAAAGTTTTGTGTATAAGTGCACAATGTATCAGTTAAGTCATTCCGGTATTTTTCAGGTGTCAAAAGACTTACGACCGATGCAGCAGATATGAGATAATACTGAGGATTTATATTGACGGCCTTCTGACAGTATACAGGACCAGAGCAAGAGAGAGGACTTGACTGCCTTCATTTGAACAATTCTTAGCTGTTTTGGATGTGGCATACATTTAGAATTCATTGTTAAATAGATGCATGACTCTTCTCACCATGTTAATGAAGAGTAGTGATGAAGAGCAATGGAATCTGAATAGATTTAATATGAAATATTTTAGTAATAATATTGTTAAACATTATGATGTACTGAAACTTATTTTAATCAAATATTTTAATGGTTGTTTTTTGCAATGATTTTTGCAAGCTAATCAGCATGGAATAATGCAGCTGTGCTACTTAAACTTGATACTGATTCATTTGTTCTTGCCACAGCTTAAAATAAATAATGTTGGAGTAATGTTTGTTTTAAATTTTTTGTTGCTTTGTCAGCGTAGTCATTTCATTACTGTTAAGATGCAACCCAATATACTGTAAATAGACCAAATCAATGAACAAAGCTTTATTGTGACACAGAAACAGACCATTCAGTGGATCTCTGCTCAGTACAAGTTTTGACCCTAGTGTCACTCTGTGATTGGTCATCGACCTGAAAAACAAACATTGCACAACTCTCTAAAGACAGAGGTCTATGTGTTCCATAGGGTTTGGGACAAAACACAATTTCACCATCCTCCTTACAATAGGCCTACTTAATGAACCCCATGATTTTTTCAAATGACAGAAACAAAAACAACATGCATACACTGTTTACTGGAATTTACAAATTTAAAGACCAGATTGTGAAACTGACACAAAGAAAACTGGCAAAGTCAGTGTGAGGGAAAACAAGCCAGCACTGGCGGTCCCTCAGCTGAGTCATGCTGGGAATTCCTGTCTGAGGCAGAATGATTTCATAATCCCTGTAAAAGCTCCTGTATATGAGCAGGCCCATCACTGCATCTACCAAAACGCACAATCTGTCTAGTCTACAACATCCACAGCATTAAGGTAAGAAATTGTTCACACAAAAAACTAAGGTAAGGAATGAATTGCAGATGTAGAGAATAAAAAGCAAGGCATGGTAGTCAAGGCTAGATTCCAGTGTTGTTATTGGAACTGAAGTAAAATAAAATAAAATCTAAATCCCGTTCACACCAAGAACGAAACGATAAAGAGAACTATAGTATTAGCGTCCACACCAACGCAAGATAAAGTTACCCTTACCAAAAAGTAGTATACTTCAAGTTTATTTTAGTAAGTATACTTAAGTAAAGTTCAAGTATATTTTTAAGGATACTTTATGTAGTAAGTATACAAATATCAGTGTACTAGTAGTATACTTGTAAGTGTACTATTTCAATACTCCTTGGGACTAAATTGGCCCACTTTCTAATATATAAAAGTATACTTTTAAGTATAACAGTAGTAAACTTTGAGTACACAACTAGTTTACATCAAAATGTTTAGTTTGTACTGCAACTATACTAAAAGTGAACTTATAGGTATACTGATAGTTTACTAATTAAATACTGCATTTTAGTACACTTTGAAGTATAGTCTAAGTAAACTACTAGTTTAGTAGTTCTATACTGCAAGTATACTCGTAAGTTTTCTTTAAGCGAACTTTACATCATACTTTAAGTATACTACTACGTCCCTATTTAGGTATTAATTTGTATATATTTTGTTACATGAATATCTGAACATACAAAACATCAAAAGAACAGGGTATCTGCTTGTAAAAAAAATTTGTTATTCTAGCTTCATGCATTCTTTTTTTAAACACTTGAATGTAGATAAGTTTCATAAATAAAAAATAAAGAAATAAACAACATTTTGAACAAAAAGCTGAAAAAAGACCATGAATTGGATTCAGAATGATAATCAAAACGTAGATAAAGTCGATCAACACCCCAAAGCTTGACAGTTATTATTACCTCTTCATTGGTCGACATTTTATTCCATAATGTTACATAGTTTTGATACTGTTTTATGTCTGATGATCGTGTTAGAATACATGTGGAAGCATCTGTTGTTTCGGTTTCTTCTTCACTTGTGTTTTTTGGAAATTCTGTACAGAAGATGTGTACTAGCGCCCCCTACAGTATAACAATGAAAACACGGATTCTAGGAGCACAATTATAGCTAAAATATATTTAGACTTTTTCTAAGTATAAGTCAAGTATACTTAAATGTCATTTTAAGTATATTTCTGAGAAGTACATAAAGCCCATTTCTGAGAAGTACATAAAAAGTAGACTAAAAGTATACTTTCCTATTTTTAGTTTAAAAGAAGTATACTAATAGCACACTTGAATAAACTTATTTTTCGTAAGGGAAGCCATACATGTACTTCCCATAACACGGCCAACTCACAATTGTTTTACTTTTGGATGCATTTATAGTTAATAAATTACATTATGTAAGGAATAATTGACCCAAGGTGGTTTTGGAACCATAAAAAATTGCCACAAAGATGTTAGAAAAATTATTTTCATTTGAAGGTAGAAGCTGCCATCATGTTTTAAAAAATAGTAATTTCAAAACAACAGCAAAAACTAAAACTAATATAAGTAAAAAAAAATCTCAAGCTTACTGAAGGCAAGTAAACAGTCTAATTATTAATTACAAGCAAAAGGATACTGTAAATAAATATATGAATAAAAAATAAGACACACATCCATGACAATATTTCAAGAAGAAATAAATTGTTTAATCAGTATTTTAAGTTTAAAAATTAAGTGTGGGCCGCAACAAGAGTAAATTAAAGGAATAGTTCACTCAAAAAAGAACATTTGCTGAAAATGTACTTACCTTCAGGCCATCCAAGATGTAGATGACTTTGTTTCTTCATTTGAAAAGATTTGGAGAAATTTAGATTGCATCACTTTCTCACCAATGGATCCTCTGCAGTGAATGAGTGCATGAGTGTAAGAAAAAAAGAAACAACATAATTTAACAAAATACAAGTCCATAATCCATAATATTGCTTCCTTTAGTGAAAAAGTCCATCCTCTGTTGTCTTCTCAAATCAAAATCCACAGACATATTTGTTTAAAACTGTGCTTGATCTGTGCATATTTCTCTCCTGATTCAGACGAGTCGACTTTGTCACTGGAGAAAGCAATATTATGCATTATGGACTTAAGTTGAAAACAGCTTAATGTTGAATTTGTTTATAACAATCACAGCTTTTCACAAGATAATGACTGGAGTGGTGTGGATTACTTGTGGATTATTGTGATGTTTTTATCAGCTGTTTGGGGAAAAAACGAACTCATACAGTACATGATGAATGACCTGAGGGTGAATAAAGTTTCAGCAAATTTTTATTTTTGGATGAACTATTCCTTTAAATAGAGTTGCGCACAGACTTTTAATGCTAGTTTTCAGGTTTGTTGGAATCTCTTACCTCTTTGAGCGCCTGTGATAGCGATGCCTGTCTTAGCAAACACCACAGAAGAACAGGCTCAAACATAAAACCTCAAAATAAGCAATTATCTGGCACAGGCGAATTGGCAGAAACATGTTCTCCTCTGGTTTCTTTCTGCTCATTAGCACTCCCCATCTTTAGATGTGTCCTCTCTTAGCACACTCTTTTCTCATTTTCCTCTCTCTCTCTCTCTCTCTCGGTCTCGGCCTGTAGGCACATAAAAAGTAGACTAAAAGTATACTTTCCTATTTTTAGTTTAAAAGAAGTATACTAATAGCACACTTGAATAAACTTCTTTTTCGTAAGGGTATGCCTATTATAAAAAAAAGAGCTCTGTAGTTTTGTTGTCTGTCGCTTTAAATGTTCGGGCTTTTTAAAGTCAAGTGGATTCTGATTGGCTGTCAAATGTTTTTATCGTTCATCAGCTGGAGAAAAAAAAATCGTTCTGAAGATTATTCCAGGCATATTGTTCCTTTGTTTCGTTATAGCTATGGTGTGCATCTGCTATTCTTTTACATTTAGAACGGTTTTTAGAACTAACGTTATATGGAACTATCTTTCTTTAAAGTTGTCGTTGTAGTTATCATGGTGAACGGGCCTTTGGACTTAAACGAACATTAGAAATATTGCCTTAACTAACTGAGATAAACTGGTTAGTAAAGTAAGTAATCAAAATTACTAGTAAAACTGAAATAAAATAAATAATAAAATAACACTGATGTTTTCAGATGTGCCCAGCTGCTAGAGCCTCTTTATTAGTTCTTCTCGCGTTTCTGCCTTGTATTTGGTGAGTGCTGCATACAACCTAGATTTTATTCGGTTGTTAATAAGTAATTTTGAATATTTTGCGTCTATTAACCTGGCACATTTTTGTTATGCAAGGTGTGAGCAGCCGGTAAACTGCAGGTGGGGACCGTATGGGGACTGGTCAGAGTGTGACGGCTGTACCAAGACACAGGTAAGCAAATAAACACAGCTTTATTTGAAGCAGGTTTAGAGAGTATAATTGCTACTGGCCACAACTGAATGATAGACCTTCTATGGGTTTTTCTCTCAGGTTCGAATGCGTTCCGCAGAGACGTTCCCTCAGTTTGGAGGCAGCTCTTGTACAGGTGAGGCTGTCCAGAGACAGGTTTGTTCACCTAAGAAAAGCTGCCCCCTACAGGCAGGATGCGGAAACAGGTTTCGCTGCACATCTGGTAAGTCGTTCTGGGTAATATGATATTAAATTTGTGGCGACAGTTTACAGTCAGTTTACAGTTTTCATTGGTTTGTTTATTTATAGGTCAGTGCATAAATCCGTCTCTGGTGTGCAATGGGGATCATGACTGTGAAGATGGTTTAGATGAGCAGCGCTGTAGTGGCAGTGGCACTGTAGTGTGTAATGAGCAAAAGCCACCACCCAACTCTGACCTCACAGGAAGAGGGTAAAATACGGCTTTTACACTCAGTATAAACCATTGTTAAATTAATGGTATAATACAATATGTAATATTTGGCATCCTTTAGGTTTGATATGTTGACGGGTGAGCTGAGAGCCGGTGTCATTAACACTCGTAACTTTGGTGGGCAGTGCAAGAAAGTCTTCAGTGGAGATCACAGTGATTTCTACAGACTTCCACAGAGTCTGCTCAGATATAGCTTTCAGGTGAAAATTTAATTTTAGGCCCATCTCTTTATTATAACGATAGCTAGGATATTACAGTCAAACCTAAATTTATTCAGACACCTTCAACATTTCTCACATTATCACAGTTTATTCGCTATAGTTTAGAAAATGGTAATAAAATAGGACAAGAACTCAGAGTTAAACTGTGTCTGAACAAATTTATCTTGATAATGTCAGATAACTTTGATAGAAAGGTATGTATTGGATTACAATCAACCAAAAAGTATTCAGCTGTTAAATTTAAGTACACAATTATATAATACCAATTTAGGTCAACCAATTACCAAGCAATGCTTAAAGGGATAGTTCACCCAAAAATGAAAATGTCATTAAT